GCCATTCTGAAGCAGCCAGGAGCGGATTCTAAATGAGCCAAAAAGCAGAGACAGGACCAATTGTCAAAATTTTTCATCCTGGTCACTACAGAAAATGGGCTAAAAGTGTTAAAAACCGAACTTCTGCTTTAATGAGCTAATTCCACCATTAAATCATATTTTTTCTTTAACATAGAAAGTACTCCTGATCCACTGCTTCTAGGTTTTCTATCTTTGGCAGATGACCATCTCCCACAGAGACTTGACATGTTTCACGGATTACTAAATTACAAAAACAGAGCACGTCACTTATCTAACTGATTCTAACCTGATGTGGCTGACCCTGTTAGCCTTTGAAATCAAGCTGTAATAAATGCCCTATTTTATAAAAAAAAGTGTCTCACAAAAGTTGTGAAAATACCAGATCTAGTTCAACACATCATATTGGCTAATATAGCAGATGGACAATAACAAAATGTAAACTAAAGGAATGGTTTTAGACATACAAGGTTCCCATCCAAAAGCAAAATACTACCTGATCTACTATGAATTATGCATTAAACACAGCCCAATAAAATCTTTATTACTCCAAAAAAGCAAAGAACCAAAAACACTCTTCTTTCTACTTTGGCAATTTTGGCTTTATTTCCAAGACTTTGCCCCTGGTTACTGCTGCTCAGGGGTAAAAGTAGGTTTAAAATACAGAGTGAACCGACATATTTACCTTATAAAGACATGGCAATCCGGACCTAAATTTCAATATGTTAAATAAAATGTTGAAATATTCAAATAGATAGAAACAAGAACTACGAGAGAGAAATATTCAAAGATCTATGTACCTTTTCATCTGGATCTTTATTCAAAAATAAACAGAATGCAATGAAATATTTTCTTTAGATATAATTCAGGGATTCCTTTGTTAGAAATTAAAGAAGGTTTGGCATTACCTCTTGTTAGCTTGCGGTTCTTTTCAGGGATTTTTTACACTTGTTAGAGGATGATCAGCCCCATATAGTTTACTAAGTATTGAGAGCAGGAAGAGCCATACTGCTGAGTGCGAACCATCAGGGTGGAGCGTAAAGCTCAGACTCTGAGCTACGCGCGCGCAAAGACGCATTTCTTGCCAAGCACAGCTGGAAGAGTAGAGTTTGTTTTCACCCCTGCCACTGCTGCTATGATCTATCCATGGTCATTCAGAATGTGCAGTGCTTCACGCCAGGGGGGCGACATGAACAAATAGGATGCAGCAGCACGGCTGATACAGCTTATCCTGTCTGACAGATTAAAGCACAAAGATGCATGTTAAACGTCTGACCGACCACCCGCTAATATTGATTTAGTCATGTCAAGTCTTGTTGACACACCCATGAGTTATAATCTTTTAGGCATCAAAGATCCTTGTTTAGTTTATCAGTTTTAGATCTCGTCATGAAAAAAAGGAGCGTCAAACAGACGCAAAACAGGGCCCAGGTCGTGGTCCAGGCAATACATGATTTTTCCTTAACAGTCCCATTCCCATAGTCTGATATTCCATCATTTCTCTCTTTTACTATCTTTTACTTTTTATTTATGTTTATATTACTCTATATCTGCTTTCTCAAATTTTCTGTTTTGCATTTTTAAATTTTCTATGGTCAGCGATGTTTATGATTACATTGCATCTTTTAGGTTAGGGTCCATTCATTAATGACATGAAGTACTGTGATAGAAGATGGAAGTAGACAGTACCTTGACCTAAATAAACACCAAGTATTCAAAGAGGCCCCTTGGCCCCTATTGCACAGAAATCCAATGAGTGTTTCTTTGCTTTGTTTTGATTTGATTTCAAATCAGTTCCAATATACTTTATCAATCCCAAAGGAAAATTAAATGTTGGCGTAATTAATCTTTTTTTAATCAAGTTTCTGTAGGTGTTGATAGCTGTAGGCAAAAACGATCCTCTGTAGCCGTCTGTCTTGCATCGGATCTGGAGAAGCCTCTTACTGAAGACACTTTGGTGTCGTTACCCCAGCAGATGATGGCAGAAGAGATCACACCCTCTACAACAGACTGATAGAAGATATGTAGCAAAGGACCAAAGCTTCCTTAGGAAGTCATATCTGTTTTTTCTTTCTTATAGATGGCTTCAACAGTTGTGGCTAAAGTCTAGTTTGTTGTCCAGGTGAACATCAAAGTATTTATATTCGTCCACTATCTCCACTCCCAGGATGTAAACATGATTCAAATTTTTGTGTTTACTCTGAAATCTATAATTGTCTCCCTTGTGTTGTTGACATTCAGGATCAGATGATTATTTACACACCATGCCAAAAAGCGGTTCACCACCTCTCAGCTATTTTAACATCTTTGATACACCAAATTACTGCAGCGTCATCTGAGTATTTCTGCAGATGACAGGACTCCCTCTGGTATTGGAAGTCAGAGGTGTATAGAGTAAAATGGAATGCTGAGAGTTCGGTCCCCAGTGGTGCTCCTGAGCTGCTGACTACTTGATTAGACAGCTGACCCTTCAGTCTAACAAACTGTGGTCTTTTTGTTAGGTAGTCTTTCATTCAGGCGATTGATGATGCCTCCACTTGAGTCTTCTGGAGTTTATTAAGTAAGTCAGGCAGAATTTTGCTAAATGCACAGGAGAAATCAAAGAACATGATTTACACAGTGCTATCTGCCTTGTCTAAATGATATTGGGTTTTTTGAAGCATGTGTATGATGGCATTTTCAACTCCAACTTCACGGGACTAAGCAAACTGCACGGGGTCCTAATACCTGCTTTTTTGCTAGCTGAAGTGAACTAAGAGAAGTCTCTCTAGAACCTTTATGATGTGGAATGTCAGAGCAACAGGTCTACAGTCACTGAGATCTGTTGGCTGAGTTTTCTTTGGTACCAGAACAAGGCAGGAGGTCTTCGGCATGGCTGGAACTGTCTCCTGGGTCAGGCTAAGGTTAAAGAGGTGCTGTAGAATCCCACAGAGCTGCTCTGCACAGGCCCTCAGGACTCTGGGATAACATCATCCAGACCTGGTGACTTATTGCGATTCAGACTCTCCAGTTTCCCCTTCACTTGATTTCTAAAGACAGGCAGGTAAAAGGCAGAGGGAGCAGCACCATCTTTTGATATAGAAACAGAAGACTCAATGGCAGAGGAGGGCAGCATGTCCATGTGACTGTGGGCAAGAGATAGTGATGCTAAGGTTGTTCCTGCACTGACACTGTTGGAGAATGAATTCAGTTCATGAACTTTGTCCAGACTTCCATATGTCTGAACCTCCTTCTGCTTGAAACCTGTGATCTTTATCCCTGACCCCACATCTCTGATATTGTTTAGCTGGGTCTTGTCTTTTCCTGTATGCCTCCCTGCTTTCCTTTACCTTGATCTTAAGTTGCTTCTTTAAACTCCTCATTAATTCCCTGTCTCCCTTCTTAAAGGCTTGTTTTTTTTTCCTGTTAAGATGTTGCTTCAGATCATTTGTGATCCTTGGTTTATTATTTGGGAAGCATTTCACTGTTCTGATAGCGATGGTGTTTTCTACACAGAAATTTATGAAGTCAGTCACTCACTCAGCCATTGCATTGATGTCCCCTCTATGTGGCTGACACAGTGCATCCCAGACTGTAGTCTCAAAATAACCTTGCAGGGCTTCTTCAGCTTCCTGTGACCATGTTCTTACAGTTCTTTTTAATGCAAGTTGTCTCTCATAAAGTGGCTTATACTCACAGAGCTATTTGTATCTAGCAACACCTGAACTGCATGTCACGTGACTTCAACCTAAAAGTCCTATTGGTGCACAATCCTTTGCGTTGATATGAGAATTGTATTTAGAGGTAAATATTTAAGTACTCTGGATCCATCCAAATGTATAAAAAGGTCATTTGTACACTATATAATTTTTCAGTAAAATAACATTTATTCAACACCACTCTAGAAATTCTGTTGGTTTATTATTTTGAAAAAGTTATTGTTTAGATGAAAAAATACTAACTATTACCTTTAAATGGAGCTATTGAATGTCATAATCAAAGCTAGAATTTAGTGAAAATATCTAGTGGAAAATATTGTTATACTCCAATATACAGATCCAACCCAACAATAAGGTAGTGGCCCCAACTTTATTTGCGCCACAGACAGGTTCAATGTCAGACAAAATTTTCATGGACCGATGGTTAACTATAGGACTCTCAGGTGCTATGGTAATGATAATCATGCATTTAAAATAAGCCACCAAAAAAACGAAGTGAATAAAAACAGCCTAGCGCATCAGTAGTGAGTTGGTGGGAGCACGGAGCTTGTTTTACTGCAACGAGATGGTGGGAGTTTTACAGCCGAAGGATCATTTGACGACAATGTTGTGGCCAAAGTACGTCAAGAGTAAGTCAAAGACTGAAATAACAGAAAGAATCCAGGGATTTTTCAAAATAAAAAAACATATAGAGTCAAAAATGAAATACGTCAGAAATAATGTGAGTTATTCATTCACTTTTCCTTAACCAGGTGCCAAATGACAAATGGACAGGTACCGGGCTGAGGCCAGGTTATCACTGCAGTAAGGCATATCAGTATGTTTATTCGAAATGCGCAAATCAGTGATTAATTTAAACATAATGAACGTCTCTAAAACACATAAAATTTGTGATAAACAAGATGTTAAAGAATAAACTGCTGCCACAAAGTATTTTTCCAAGTATACACACTGTAATCAAAGATGGCCCAGAAAAACAAAACAAAACAAAAAACAGAACAAAAAAAGAAATTGGAAAGTTACAAGTAATTTAACCATTTTGGCTGAAATTCCCAAATACAGAACCAAGAAACTGAAGAGACAACAGGTCAACTGAAACTTAGAAACTACTCTACCATTGGCACCTTCATTAAATGTCCCTTTTGATATGCATTTCTGATAAATGAAAAGGACTCAGCACAGAACTAATGATTAACCATCATGGTTCAGACACTGGACTGTGACCCAAGAGTGAAATTCATAAGGTGTTATCAACTCACAATTGGAGCTTAAACAAGCCACAGTGTGTAAAACCACAGCTCCCTGCATTAGAAATGTGTACCTGCTGAAATATCGAGCACTGCACGCTATCATGAAATATATTGATTGATTGTATGTAATAGAAAAACTGATCAAAAAAGGGAGTGTTTTAGAAAAAACAGATTAAAAATGTGAAATATACGGGGAAAGGAGATATTTTAGTAATTTTAACTAATTTTGCTTATATTCAGCTCGATTTTATGTTCATCAGTCAGGCAACTGAGAACATGTAAGCCTATCAGGATAATCACAAAGTTTGCTCAGATTGGCTAAAAACGTTAAATAATGTTTTAAATCCCTTTCAATGATTTTTGGTCCAGATTTAGCGCAGGCTTTTGCTAAATGATACATACATGCTTCCTGGAGCACTTCGGGTTCACAGCAGAGCTGAGGTGATTAGACCACTTGAAGTATAAATTAGTCTCAAATGAATGGTATCAAATTATATGGGACAAAAACTTCAATTTTGGTGTCATTTGACCAGTTTGTATTTTTCCACTTGTCTCCTGTGTGTAATACAGTGTGAAAAACTAAAAGTATGACTCTTTGTGGTTTTCTTTTACCAATGGCTTTCAACTTGGCACTATTCCCTACAGGCCAGAAATGTAAACTGTGTAGTTGTCCTGTTGACATGTTCGCCTACGTAAGTTGATTATACCTTCAGCTCCCCCAGAGTTACTGTGAGTGCTTTTAATACACACACAAGCACACACAATCAATCTGATAAAATGTACTTTCCTACATGTTTTTTTCATGTATCTCAGGGAGTATACTACATACTCAAAGATGGGGAAAATGGCATTTGAAAGCTGTTTGGTCTCATCATTGCATTAGCTTCTTTTGCAACCTACAAATGCCTTATAACTTCTCTGAATGTAATTGGTGAAGTGAGGTATCTGTCAAATTATTATGCTAATCTGTTTTCAGCACATCAGGAACCACACAAACAACTCGAAATGTGACACAGCAAAAACAAAATTTCATTAACAAAAAACGACTCAGCTACATTCTTAGGTAGGTCTAATTTGCTGTTGTGGAGTGGTTTTTAATGAATTTATCTTAAACAGATTTCTAGTTTTGATTAAAAAAAATTAATTATCTAGTTGTTTTCCATCTTAGTCCATGCAAAAAAACAAAAAACAAAACTTTAACAAAGTTATTTTACTGAATTTCATTAGGGGTATTCATTTACTTAGCTTAGAATTGGATAAACCTACTAAAAGCATCAATTAATTAATTATCAAGAAGAAAAAAAAACATACCATTTAAAGTGCAGATATAAACTGCAAATTGTAGTAAAAGTAGTGTCAGTTTGTGACACTACTTTTGTGACACTGAGATGAGTTTTACTGAGTTGTGGTGAACTAAAAAAACCTCGGAAACATGAATGACACTGGCCCCCCGACTACTGACTTGGTGTTCAATGTAAAAAACAAAAAATACCATAAGTGTTGTTTTCTGATTGCTTTTAAACTATTGTGGTAGCTGTCATACACCTTCAATCTTATATAAACTGTGCTTACCAGATCATTAGCTCCATTAACATCTTACCTAGGTGAGTAGTGAGCGGTGGTCCAGCGGCATCTTTTTCTCTTAGATCTGTATCCACCTTATCGGAGGGCAGTCGATGTGACCTTGCAGCTGTGTCATAAATAAGAGGCTCCATCTCTCCATTTTGAAGTCCATTATGAGGAACCCTCATCGAGGTAAAACAGTGAGACCCACTTGATGGATGAGCCTTGAATGTCATGGCTTTACTCATTCTCTCTCCTAAAGGATGTTTTCCAGCTCCAGTAACTACTTTCTTCTGTTTTTGAGTGGGCCCTGAAACTCCACCTCCAATTCCTAAAACTGATCCAATTCCCATGCCAACAGCTGGAACGCTAGTCCTTTTCTTCTTTCGGGCCTCTGACCGTGCCTTGGAACTTTCTGCCACTGTATGCTGACTGGCCGTGAGGCTCTCACCAGGACGTTTGTCGACCTTTGGTCTTTTGTGCAAATGCCGTCTCGAGCTGTTAAACTGGTCGATGAATTCCTCACAGTGAAGCAGGTGATGCTCTGGTTCCCAGGTGTCCTCCTTACTTCCATAACCTTTCCATCTGATCAGGTACTCCCACTTACCCTTCTTGTTTCGCCTCTTGTCCACGATCCGTTCCACCTAAGGGCCACACATAGAAAACACATTAAGGTTGGCTGCATTGCAAATTTATACCTGGAACCCAAAATGTATATATGAAAGTAGAATCGAGGTCACAGAGGTGAAATTCTGTTATTTTCAGTAGCATGGAAAGAGTTTCCAACAGAAGACAATTGCTGTACAGTTCTCAAAAACAGTACACGAAAGAAGTTTGTAGGAGAACAAAAATACTAAACAATTATCAAAAACTACATTCTTAGGACGTGCGCTGGTTAGCGTGCACGACCCATGTACGGTGGCCCTGGTCCTTGACGCGGGCGACCCGGGTTCGAATCAGGCCTGTGCTTTTTTCCCTTTCCCGCATGTCTCTATCTCCCCCTCTCTCATACCCCTGTTTCTGTCTGCCTACTGTCGAAAATATGAACCACTAGTGCCGTTAAAAAAAAAAAAAAAAAAAACTACATTCTTAGATTAGATGAAAGGGATAAGACCATATAAGAACTTATATATATATACTAAACTTCAAACTGCAGCACTGAAGACACAGACACTCCCTTTTGTCCATCTTACAAAGGGGTAGAGTAAAATCAGAAACAGCACTGAGCTACTGTTTTGTTGGTGCTGTTCATATAGCAGCATAAGTATCTTAAGACAAGCGCCTTTGTAATCCCTTTTAGCTGAATAAGCAAAAGCTACGTTTTGTGGAATTTCCCTGATGAGACCGATAAAAACGAAAAGACAAAGGATGCTGATAAGCCCTGATGCTAGCTGTTCTTGAACCACAGCCATTAAGAAACATGGAGGAATGACATTCTTATATTTAAGAAAAAATGGAAAATGCTAATTTTGCTCTTGTATCTCAACAGGTAGTAAACATACTTGACAATTAGATTCAGCTTTATTTGGCTATTAGTTAGGCTTTATGCTCACACAGTTACAGTGTACTTGGAATGGGGTACAAATTATGATTCCTACTCAGTCCCAGGACATGTCTTATGTTTTTAGGTAGGTGGTACAAACTGCTAGCCTGACGTAGTCCGACTCAATTCTAGTCAGAATATGAGTCTGATACTGCTCCATAGAGCTGTGATTATGGGGCGTGTTTCGAACGAACCAGGAAAAAAAATGCCTCTGCACTCAATTGGATAGACCTACAACCAATAAGAGCAACGGAGTGCGTGACGTATGTTAAGCGAGGCATAGTTGTTGTCCACAAAAATCAAAGCGTGCAGTTGCACGCCTATAATAAGAAGATGAGACTTGATCGCGTTTCTCTGTTCCTCTTTTAAAATTAATTTGCTGTCAATATCTTCTAGAACAGACCTAATAGCAGAATCTACTCACCTAAACTCTCCAGCGGCAGCCATTATTGTTGACACCCAAGCGTGCATTGGTCACGTGGTTGATTACGTTACTGTTGGTCATCTGTCCATCATCGTATAAAGCCCGCCCTGACAATTTGATTGGATCGCCTGACAGTGGGCAATAATACACGCGCTACTATGGTGCAGAGCCAGACTGAACTTCCCGACCTCAAACTTTGTGGGCGGGACTAAGTTCGGAATGGCACCCAGGCTAACAAACTGCAGAAACCAGGATTATAAAAGCGAACAGCTTTTGCCGGCAGGTGTTGACATTTTAAGTTAATTTAGGCATTAAAAATGTGTTTCTGGTGGAGGTCACAAAACTGTATGAGCTGCGCTGTGTCTGTCTCCCTGCCAGCTCCCAGATCAGCTTCTCTGATTGGTTGATGTGGTGCGTCGAGCAGCAAAATAAAAAATTTGGTGTACATAAAACCTGCTGATCTTCATAAGGTTACAAAACATGCTAGAAAAGGCTCTAAATAGATATAGATAATGTCTAGCTAAATGTGTTGTTTACCACATGTTTATTTCATTTGACTTTCAGTCATTTTTAACCAGTGCTATGCCTTAATCCTGACATCACCAACAAAACCCACCAATAGAAGTATCCCTTACCATAATCTAAACGTAATTGGGACCTAATCCCTAATTTTAACCTTTAACAAAAAAAAAAAACAAAAAACTTTGATACAAATGATCCCAGATTTGATGGTGAATTTGGAAAAATGGTCCACTGTGGTGCCAAAACAGGAGCTCAGACATCTACAAAAGCACACACACACTTTCTCCTGTTTTACAGTAAGAGCAGAGAGCGTCACAATCCTGAGGTACGTTTTGTGACATCTGTCAAGGTTAAGATAAGAGCCAACCCTCTGAAAAAGAAAGATAAGCGACAACATTGGAGCCGTTAAGGCAAATCATCATCTTTTCTGTCAGCCTGAGAGCATTTCACAATAGAACGGGCTAAAAAATACTCCAGACCACTAGAAAAACACACAGAAATCATCATTTGAACAGTGATGAAATCAATACCAAACAACACATAGCAGCATGGTTAATTTCGTCAGCTTTCTTTAATTTGGTCTTAGTCACAATGACAAAAATAAATTTTAGTCTTAGTCATATTTAGTCAACACTGTAAATAATAGAACTTCTCCACACACTGATTCTATTTTTCTCTATTTTCTCCAAATTTTTTCGTCGTCGTCCTCGTCGACTGAATTAACACTGCATAGCAGGATATAGAAATGCATACATAGACATACACAAAATTGTTAGCATTCCTCATTTAATGAAACAAAAATCCAAAATAGTTAGAGAAATAACATACATCTGCAAAAGTAATACAAATAAAACAATTAAAATAACAAATTCTAACCACAATAATGACAAATCAAAGAGACAGATAATAGGAATAGTATCAAAAGAGCCCAGAAAAACGTCTAAAAAAATTAAAGGTGAACTTCAAGCTCATGGAATATCAATGTCAGATGACGTCATTGGCATAGTTTCGTTTAATGAATGAAAAACCCACAATGGTCTTGAGAAGAATCGGGTCTAAAAAAAGTTATAGTATCTAAAAATTATATAAAAAATTTTGACAAATCAAAGCCAGACATTGCTTTTCAACCATGCTTCAACAGATTGATTTTTTTTTAAAACAAACTCATTAAACCGGCCTGACCAGAAATGATGGAACACCTCCCTTGGAGGCAATCACTGCAAACAAACCCTTCTGTAACTGTCTGCGAGATTTCATCTCCTTTCAGCAGGTATTTTGGCCCCCTCCTCAGGAGCAAACTGCTCCAGTTGTCTCAGGTTTAAAAGATGCGTTTTATAGAGGACATGTTTCAACTCCTTCCAAAGATCCTCATTAGGATTTAGGTCAGATCTACTCATGTCCTTCGACTGTGACCAAGCCTTCTGACACTAAGCAGGACATTTCTCTTTAGAAACCCTTGATAAATTCGAAATGTAGATGAAGTTGAAGCAAAGCAGCCCCAAAAACATAACAGAGCCTCCTCCATGTTTCACAGTAGAGACAGGGTTATTTTCCAAACATGCTTCATTTCCCCCTGTGACATAGAGCTGATGGTCCTTGGCAAAAAGTTTCATTTTTGTCTCAAATATTCATAGTACATTTTTGAAGAAGCTTTGGGTTTATCAAGATGTAGTTTGCAAATCCAAGTCTGAATTTTTTATGATTTATTTTCAACAATGCTGTTCTCTTTGATCATCTCCCATCAAGTCTATTTTGGATCAAACAGTGATGGATGGTATGATCTGACACTGTAGTTGTTTGAGCGTGAAGTTCACTCTGAAGTTTTTCTGGGCTCGTCTGTCACCATCTGTATGATCAATCTCTTAGATTTTGTGGTCATGTCCAGGAAGGATGGCTATAGTATTATGGATCTTACATTTCTGAATAATATGTGCAACTGTTGTCACATGAACATCAGTTGACTGGAGATGGTCTTATAGCATTTATCTTTAACTATTTGTCTATAATCTTCCTTTTCTTTACTTCATCTGGCCCACATTGAGTGTGGTACACACCATGTCACCAAACAGCACAGTGACTACTGTAATGCTAAATAGCAGACACACCTTGATTTAACATGTACCTTTGGTAACATAATTTTAAGTCTTTTCTAGGAGTACCATCATTTCTGTCAAGGCCTGTTTTGTGAGTTTATTTTCTTTTTGAATCATTCTGTTGAAGCATGGTTGAAAAGCAATATTCATCCATCCATTTTCTTCCGTTTATCCGAGGCCAGGTCGCAGAGGCAGCAATCTAAGCGAAGATGCCCAGACTTCCCAATCCAAGCAGACCTCCTCCAGCTGCTCTGAGGGGACCCCGAGGCAACCCCCCTGGCCAGTTCAGAAACATAGTCCCTCCAGCATGTCCTGCGCCTTCCACGATGCCTCCTCCCAATGGGACATGCCTGGAACACCTCCAGAGGGAGGCATCTGAAACAGATACCAAAGCCACTTCAGGTGGCTTCTTTCGACGTGGAGGGGCAACGACTCTACTTCGAGCTCCTCCCAGGTAACTAAGCTCCTCAACTGATCTCGAAGCAATATCTGACTTTTATATGTTCATTTTCATTGCACTTTTATTTATTATCACCTTTATCACACTGAAGTTATTTATGTGACCATTCTGGGTTTTTCCTTCATTAAACAAGGGTTACAAAGAATTATGCCCATATGTGCAAGTTGCTCTGACCAACATCTATCACACATGTCTGTTTATCCTGTAACGTACCCTTCTGGACCTCTTGTTGGACTAGTTCTAGATGGATGTAATCTGCCAATAGCTTTGTTAAATCAATTAAAATTTGTATTAAAAAGACATCACAAACCTTTCTAGATAGTAATTAAAACCATATTTTCCTGAAAATTCTGGAGAGAGCGAAATGGTAAGAAAACACGGCACATTGATGACTGACCACTCTCGCTTCTCTCCAATCATCCTGTGAGACCTATAGTTACAGCAACAAGTAAGTCAGTGTTTACTACTTTTTTGCAGTCATGGAAAAAAGGAGCCGCAGATCACTGCCAACACCCATGTTTTCTGTCTTTTTTATTTGATTTAACTAAAGACATCTGATAGATGGTTACACTGCAGTGATAGCTCATCACAGCCTGAATGAC